AACTGGAACAAACCATTGTGGAGCTGACATTGATTCAATTATCTATTAGTACTATTTTTTTAAGTAAAGAGAAAAACCCTTTTAAGTTCTTATGATTTAATAATAAAAGAATTATTTTTTATAGTTTTAATGAAGAAAGATGATTTGATGAGAATGAAAAAGAGATGATAATAACCAAAGAATATTTAATCAAATCCACCTTATATAACATGAGACAAGAATAATCCCCAACTCATTTTGGAGAAAAACTGATATTTCTACAAAATTCATCATATTTTGGTTTTAAACTAGGTTCTTTACTTACTATGTATTCCAAAAGATGGTCTTTGAAAAGCCCTTTATACTCTGTCACAACTGAGTGGAGCTGAGGTGTTGCTTTTGGATTTGTTGATAATCGGTTTAAACAATCCAAAGAATAACGAACAAGACGACCGTTGACATCTCTTTTTTGCATAACAGTTGTTACTATTGAATGACAAAGAAGGTTGGCAATTGATAAAATCTTTTGTGGTGTTTCACAAACATTTTCTAATGCAGTACTTTCACTAAATAATTTGGAAAGAATAAAGGTAGCAATGACTCGTGATATTTCTGCAGCATGTTGTATAGAAACAATACAAATCATCAATACTTCTTTATCCATTAAATATTTAACAATTTGAGGGTCTCGAGTTTTAGACATAGCTCCTATGACTCCAAGTGATGTTAAACGTAAATACTCAATTTCTCTTTCAACTTGAGTGAGAGCGAAGATTGGAGTCAAAAAATAAATAATATCAATTCCAATCAAAAAGTGTTGGGTCTTTGGATGAGAGGCAATTGTTTGGAGTAATGCCAAAGCTTTACAAACTCTTTGAATCAATGAATAAGATGATACAGCAAGAGTTTCTTTGTGTTTACCAGATATGTAAGGATAAACACTAACAATTTCTTCAAGTAAAATGACAACCGTACCATATGAATACCACAAAGGAATAGCTAGGTCTGGGTGCTTATCAGCAATTACTGATAAAGCGTTTAAAGAGTCAAGACGTTTTTCAATATCTGCTAAATCAGCAATTAATTGACACGTTTCAGGAGGAAGGTCAGGTAAGTTGAAGCTAGGAGAAGGTTTAGGAGATTGTTCCACTTTAGCAGCAGGTTTTTCAGTTTTTTGTGGAGTCTGTTGTTGAAAATTTTGTTGTTGAGATTGTTGTTGCCCTTTATTTCTGTTTCTTTTTCCTCCTTTTGCTGAAAGAGGAGGGAACATTGTGTTGATTGACATTCAATTTATTTTCCAGTTTTTCTTTCCTTTTTTTATTTTTTAATTTTTTTTTATTTAATAACATTTTCTTTTTTTTTATTTTTTATTATCACCCCTCTTATTCATTAAGTTGCTTGATTATGGTTGAATTATTTGGATTTTATTTTTCTGTTCTTAAAGTATTATAATTAATATATCTGAATTTATTGGTTATATTATTGAAGATAATTTTGTTATACAATGAAATAAGACATTTTAATAGATAGGGAATTACATTTTTATAAAAATAAAAAGATTAATGTTCTATTCAAAACTCACAAAAGATATATTGGATAAGTCAATCACTTTGTTTTTAATTGGTTGTTTCAAAAAGATGTATCATTGCTAATGATGAGTTATATTTTATTCTAAAAAATATTTATTCTCTTAATTATACATATAAATATATGTTTAAGTGATTAGGAATTTCTGCATGATATTTTTTCAAGTCTTTTTTTAAAAAAAAATAACTTCATTTTTCCATCTCAAATTAAAAAAATTATGCATAAGAATGACACTCTCCTTTTTTATTACTTCCTTTATTTATAAAAATGAGTATATAAATACTTTTTTGTATATTTATCTTTATTGATTTATCGATTTAAAACACATTATTCTAAGTTACTATGTGGAGTTAGAATTGTTATTAATTTTCATCAAGTATTCTATTATAATAATATCTTTATAAATTCTCTTCATCAGAGTTTACCTTATTCTCTTTAAATAATACTTATTTTTAGTTGGTATTATCAAATTAATCATATTTATTTTCTCTTTTTTATTTAGGTATTTTTTTCTTTTATTGAATGTACATTATATCAATTATTTCTCGTTTTTATTCAATAGATACATGCCTTTTTATAATTATTTATGATTTAAAACGTTAACAAATTATTTTTAGTATGATGTTTTTGGTTTTATTTTATAACTTTTATTCATTTGATTTATTTCTTTATATTATTAAGTTATTTGTTATTGTTCTATTAATTATATTTTAATTTTTACATAATAAATAATAAATTAAGGTTTAATAATTTTAA